GGGCAGGTTGGCTGAGCAATGAAAGCTCTCGGGGCACCGGCGTCTTCCCACCAGCTCTAAACCTTGGTGGAAGGAAGAAGCTTGCCATTTTGCAAACCTTCCTCTGCTTTGCACCGGCACTCTCCATGCTAAATGGGGTGCTCACATGTTCCAGTGGCATTTGCATGTTTAATTGGCAGGGCTCATTCCTGCCCCCTCCACCCCCAACCTCCCCCCCTGAGCATCTTCGTGTGTATATGTGTATGTGGGGGAGAGAGACAGAGACAGAGAGGCACTTGCGCTTCTTTCTTTCTCTCTCTCTCTCTCTCCCCCCTCCCTCCCTCCCTCTCTCTCTCTCTCTCTCTCTCTCTCTCTCTCTCTCTCTCTCTCTCTCTCTCTCTCTCTCTCTTTTTCTCTCTCTCATCTTCTGCTCACCTGGCCAGCCGGCCTCACACTCTTCTCCGACAAGCTGACACACCGCGGACATTCTGATTGGGTTGGGTTTAAATCGGCGCTCCTCTCCTGCCCTTGCTGCCTCTCTCTCTTCCTTCCAGGCAGCTGGGACTCTGACGTGCCTTCCCGGCCAGCAGGGCCAACAGTAGCACCGACTGAGGATCGCAGGGGCTGCACTCCCTTGGGGCCGTGGCTTGCGAGAGGGCTGGCTCGCTCAGCGGAGGCTCCAGTGGGCCGCTCCCAAGAGGGATCCCGGGGCTGCCCCGCGCAGCTCCTTGGCCACCTGTGCCTCGGACAGGGCCAGCCTGGGAAAGGGATTTCCTGGCCACGCTTCTCCCAGGGGGCGGGGTGCCCAGGCGCCAGCTGGCCAGATGAGCAGAAGATTGGAGAGAGAGAGAGAGATTGAAGCGAAGCAAAGCGCAAGTGCCTCTATGTTTTTCTCTCTGCAAATGGCGGAGGAGGACTGGAGTCTGAAAGAGCCTCATGTGGCTCCAGAGCAGCGGGCTGACAACCCGTGCGATAGATGAAACCCATCAAAAGAACTTTGAGGCAAAATTCTTCCTTAGAGTACATTTATTCGGGATACAAAGTATCGGCCCTACATAGTTGAACCCAAAAACTAAATTCCCTTCCCCCAGATACAAAAGTAACAAAGTATAACTCCCACCCCCAATTAACTGTAAGAAAAGGCATATTAAAGGAAAAGGCTGCATTTTCATCAGTTGTCAGAGCGGAAACATCCAATGTTAGCAGCGTTGACAGGTTAAATTAGAATTTTGATGTTTTATGGTAATATATGGTTTTTTTGCTGCTTTCACATGTCCTGTACCTATTTGTTAAACAATAATGAAACTAACCCATTAATATGAATCTTACAGATAAAGAGGATGCCAAGAACAGCACTCTGCACAATAGAGAATGAGAAGCAGCATTAAAATGCAAGGCAAACCATCACCCAAAACTTTTTCTACTTCCTGCACGAATATTGAAAACTCTCCTCCTTTCTCATCAGAGAAAAGGGAGCAAATAACAAGAACAAAGTTTTGAGATGGAAAAAATAGAGCATGTGCAACTCAAGGAAACATTACACGAGAAGTCAAGAGAGATAATATCCAAATAAAGAAAAAGGGGAAATAACTGGAAGTCGTTGGGATAGCCAAAATGGGCAGGCATTAATTAAAGCCTTTCAGGAAGGTAAGAGTGAGTTGACTCAAAGAACCTCCAAGAAAGAGATCAGAAACATTTTTGTCCTCCTCAAGAATCCAAGAATAGTAGTGATGGAAAAGCCCCACAAACTGCTTAATGTGGGAAAAATAGAGGTTGCAGATCACAGCTGATTATGCACAAGACAATCCACCCAGTGAAGCGCGATACAAATGTTTGGAGTTTAGCAAAAGCTTTACTCAGAGTAGCTCCCTTATGGTTCATGGAAGGACCCACACAGGAGAGAAGCACTACCGGATGACCAAATGTGACAAAAGATTTAGCATGAACACTAATATGGTAAGACACAAGAGGACTCACGCAGAAGAGAAACCATATGAGTGCTCAGATTGTGGGAAAGGTTTCAGTTGGAATTCCCTCCTGGTGCAACATCGAAGGACTCACACGGGAGAGAAACCATATGAGTGTCCAGATTGTGGGAAAGATTTTTCTTGGAAATCTGACCTGGTGAAACATCAAAGGACTCACACAGGAGAGAAACCATATAAATGTCGTGATTGTGGAGAAAATTTTAGTCAGAATTCCCAACTGGTGAAACACCAAAGGACTCACACGGGAGAGAAACCCTATGAGTGTTCGGATTGTGGGAAAGATTTCACTTGCAATTCTGACCTGGTTAAACATCAGAGAACTCACACAGGAGAGAAACCATATAGATGTCCAGATTGTGGCAAAAGTTTCAGTCAGAGTTACTACCTGGTGATACACCAGAGGAGTCACACAGGAGAGAAACCGTATGAGTGCCAAGATTGTGGGAAAGGTTTCAGTTGCAATTCTGACCTGGTGAAGCATCAGAGGACTCACACAAGAGAGAAACCATATAAATGTGATTGTGGGAAATGTTTCAGTCAAAATTCCTACCTGGTGAAACACCAGAGGATTCACACGGGAGAGAAACGGTATGAATGTTCAGATTGTCAGAAAGGTTTCAGTTCCAACTCCGACCTGGTGAAACATCAGAGAACTCACACAGGAGAGAAACCGTATAAATGTGATTGTGGTAAAAGTTTCAGTCAGAATTCCTACCTGATGAAACACCAGAGGACTTACATGGGAGAGAAATCATATAAGTGTGCAGATTGTGGGAAAATTTTCCATCGGAATTCTCACCTGGTTGTACACCAGAGAACTCACACAGGGGACAAACGGTATCAGTGTCTGGATTGTGGTAAAAGTTACACTCGGAATTCCAACTTGGTGATTCACCAGAAGACTCACACAGGAGAGAAATCCTATCGGTGTCCTGATTGTGGGAAAACTTTCAGTCAGACTTTCAACCTTGTGCAACACCAGAACACTCACACTGGAGAAAAACCATATGAGTGCCTAGATTGTGGGGAAAAATTCAGTTGGAATTTCCATCTGATGATACACCAAAAGACTCATACAGACAAGAAACTGTATGAATGTCCAGAATGTCAGGAAAGTTTTAGTTGCAAATCTGAACTGGCGAAGCACCAGAAGATTCACAGAGAAAAGAGACTGTATGAGTGTCCAGATTGTGGGAAAAGTTTCACTCAAAATTCCAAATTGGTGAGACACCAGAGAATTCATACGGGAGAGAAACCATATGAGTGTTTATATTGTGGTAAAAGTTTCATTCAGAATTCCAACCTGGTAATACATGAGAGGACTCACACAGGAGAAAAACCATTCAAGTGTCCAGATTGTGAAGAAAGTTTCAGTCAGAATTCCTACCTGGTGAAACACCAGAGGACTCACACAGGAGAAAACCCATATGAATGTCTGGTGTGTGGGAAAAGTTTCATTCGAAATTCCGACTTGGTGAAGCACCAGAGGACTCACACAGGAGAAAAACCATATGAGTGTCTCGAATGTGGGAAAAGATTCAGTCGGAATTCCAGTCTGGTGATACACCGGAGGACTCACACAGGAGAGAAACCATATGAATGTCCTGTTTGTGGGAAAGATTTCAGAAGTAGAGCTACCCTTATAAATCATGTACAGTTACACATAGGGGAGTAACTCTGTAAGTGAGAATGCTATAAAGTACCGTGTGGTGGTATATTAATTCTAAGTGCTATTGCTGTAATAAAGAAATAGCTTTAAAGGTGATGACCAGCATCTTCAATTGCAGCTTAAAGAAACAAATCCAGTGCAGCTCACATCACAAAGAAGTTACATGGGCATCCTAGGGGCTCCCATTACTGTGTGCACTGTTGTGTTCTAGACCAGTTGTAAGCTTCTGGGTGGCCCAGTGCAGTAATCCAAACAGGAGGTGATCAAGGCGTGATTGCCCCATGTGCAAGACTCCCTCTTGCCAAGCATCTGACTTTTGATTACGTGACCATGGGCATACTGCAGTGGTCTTTAAGTGAAAAATGGT